TCCCGGTAACATCGGTCTTTGGTGTCAGAAAGCGTGAAGGGCTGGATCGAAACAACGAGTTTTCAACCAACCGCTTCAGCCTTATTATTATTATTATTATTATTATTATTATTATTATTATTATTATTATTATTATTATTATTATTATTATTATGGATGGACGTTCTTTTAGTGCTCTGTTCAGTTTTAATATAGATTCGTACTATTTGGCCTAATTTGAGTATAAATGTGCATTAGGACGGTTAAGTGAAATTTATAGTTTAAATAAAAATAATAATTTCATCAAACATTGCTGATTGTTAATTACAAATTGTATAAATTCATACTCTGAAAAGTCTTTGAGGTTAGAGTTTGAAAGTGTGTGGAATTTTCATAGGTTTCATTTCCCCAGTGTGTTTTCTTGTCTTGCATCAATTGTTCTATGACTGTTGACCAGTATGTCTAACACTCCGTCCCGATCTTACATCTGTGTTCGCTGTAAGAAACCCATAGGCCGGACTGTGCATTATTGTAAAGTATGTCTTAAGGAATTCCATCCAGGTTGCGTTGACTCTACTAGTCACAAAATATACGACTCTGACAACCATCTAGTGAGATGTAATGGCCCCTATGACATTTTTGATGTACAGTTAAGTGAAGTTAGTGAAAGTATAGAAGAAAGTGCGAGTAATAGAGGTAATAATACGGAGCATGTGAGTATTGACATTGGTAATACTGATGTAAATATTATGACGAAATTAGATAATATTTGTAATAAAATTGACAGAATGCCTACAGTTAACGCTAATGTTATAAAAGAGATGATTAAAACAGAAGTAAAAGAGATTATAAAAATAGAAGTAAACAATCAATATACGAGACTTGAAGAATCTATACAGCACACAATAAAACTCGAAATAAATAAGATTACTGCTGAATTAAAAAATCAGTTTATAAACAATACTCAAAATTCCCAGACTACGACTAATAAAAATATAAATAGTTATAGTGAAATTACTAAAAGGATATCTACCACATCGAATGTGGAGCGTATAGTTGTAAAACCAATTCAAGTTCAGGATACAAACTTAACTATTGATGAATTGAAGAATAACATAGACATTGTCAAACTAGGTGTCGGTGTCCAAAAAGTAACAACTCAATCAAAAGGCAAAGTTTTGATTGATATTGAGAAAGGGTCTGACAAGACTAAACTGATCAATGAAATTCAAAACAGTATTGGTAAATCATATGTCGTTAAAAATGTCAACAAAAAATTACCTAAAATAAAAATAGTTAAATTAGAAGACAGTGTCCTGAAAATGAGTGTTGATAAAATTGTACAGGATTTATCATCACAAAATAATTGGGAAAAAATAAGTGATGACCATACTGTAAAATTAATTAAGAAATACACAACTACAAGTGGATTTGGTTCCATTATATTGGAGGTTAGTACGGAAATCCATCAAGCTATCGTGAATAATAGAAAAGTGAAATTAGGATGGAATAATTATAATGTGTACAACTACATTAATATCTTGAGATGCTTTAAATGTTGGGGATTTGATCATCTCGCTACTAATTGCAATAGAGAAGTAGTATGCAGGTTATGTACAGAAAACCATCGTGAAAATGAATGTAAGAGTAACATTAAGAAGTGCATTAATTGTGTTAAGGTTAAAAATAAGTCTAAAGATTTTATTCATGATCCGGATCATTGTGCTACTGACAGAAATTGTAGTGTATACTTGAAATTATTGGAAAGAAGATAAGAAAATATATTGACGACAGAAAGATAGCTATTTAAGGTAAAAAATAAGAAATTATCAGACAAACTTACCTTAAAAATTTTAGCTGTGAATATATGTGGTCTAATTAATAATAAAGATGAGATAGAAGTATTAATCAATGAAATGAAACCTGATATACTATATTTTTGTGAAACCCATGTAACTAGTGATGTATTAGACTGTGAAATTGACATAAAAAATTACAATATGATAAGAACTAACTCAAACAATAGTCGAACCGGTGGAACTATTACGTATGTAAAAGAAAATATAAAGTATAAAGTGGTATTAAATAATAATGAAGTTACTAAAAGAACATGGATAAATAGTATACAATTAAGTCATGGTGATGAGAATTTAGTAATATGCAATTTGTACAGATCACCAAGTAGTAGTATTAGTATTTTTTGTGACAAAATTTTGGAAATTGCTGAGTCATTTATAGATTGTGGTAAACTAATAATTTTAGGGGATTTTAACATCGATATGTTAAAAAACGATTACTATGCAAGAAAGTTAACTAACGAAATGTCATATTTAGGCATGAAACAAAACATTAAGTCTATAACAAGATCAATTTTGACCTCACAAACTATAATTGACTTGGTATTTACAAATTTTAGAGTTGAGTCTGAAGTATTGTCAACTCCAAAGGTGTCTGATCACAATATTATTTTTATAGAGATAAACCATCTAGATATTGTTGATAATAATAAAATAGTGTTCTCTAGAAGCTTTAAGAACTTTACTGATGATATGTTTCAAAAAGAAATCTCGGTGAGATTTTGTAATTGGAAACCTGAGCTAGCTGTGCATGATCTTAATAATAATAATAATATTGAAGCAGATATTTTAAACTATAATCTAATGGTAGATAAAATTAGCAATAGTGTATTAGAGGTATTTGACAGCATAGCACCATTTAAAGAAATATCTAGTAATTGTAAATGGGGTAACAAACCATGGATTGATAAGGACATTATAAAATTGATTAAGGAGAGAGATAAGTTATTTAAAGTGGCTATGAGAACAAAAGTAGTTTCAGATTTAAATAAATATAAAATATTGCGTAATCAAGTAGTCAATAGTATAAGAATTAATAAGAAACAATATTATGAAAGTAACATTAAGAATAATAAATCTTATCCCCGTATTATGTGGAAAACTCTTAAAGAACTAATAGGCGATAAGAAAAATACAAAAATTAATCTACGTGAAATTGTAATCGATGATATTGTATTAATTGATAGTCAAATTATAGCAAATAAGCTTAATGATTATTTCATTGATAGTGTAGTAGCCATTGTTGATGAAATTAACAGTGATATGTCTTATGATTTGACATTAGATAAAATTAGGTACCAACAGCAAAAAAAAATGGGAGTTATTTGACGAGATTGACATAAATATGTTAAATAAAATTATTAGTAGCTTCGATAATAAAAAAGGTTCAAAAAATGATGTAAATGTTAAAATTTTAAAATTAATATGGAACAGTAAATGTGATATAATTCTGTACATGATAAAAAATTCTTTTAAATTGGGCCATGTGCCATCTGATTGGAAAATCTCGAAAATAACACCCATTCAAAAAGTCATTGGGAGCAATAAAATAGAGGATCAAAGGCCGATAAACACACTTCCCGTGTACGAGCAGGTACTTGAAGAGGTAGTTAAAATACAACTTATAAAGTTTATTGATGATAACCGAATAATTAACCCTGAGCAATCAGGTTTTCGTAAAGGTCATTCGTGTGAAACAGCACTCCAACATTCCATCATACGTTGGAGAAAAAATTTAGATAAAGGCTTGTACACTGGAGTTGTGTTTGTCGACTTTGCTCGTGCGTTTGAAACGATAAATCGCAACAAATTGTTGAACATCCTACATAATATAGGAATTCAAGGCACAGTACTAAAATGGTTTAAATCATATTTGTCTGAAAGGAAGCAAAGAGTTAAATTTCAAAATTGTTTGTCAAATGAGAAAGAGGTGAAATATGGTGTACCTCAAG